TAGTAACAACACATTACGTAACATCAGATTTGATGTAGAGCCGTTCAGGGCCACAGTGTTAACCATCATGTGATGTATGGTGGCGTTCTGAGCATGTCAGTTGGAGTTATGACATCATCATGTCATATCTCCAACACACATAATGACGTTATGAAACACCTGTGCTTGAGCCCAGAGATCAAAGGTTTCCATGGTGATGTGCAGTAATCAGTGAGAGGAGAGCCTTTCCATTGTTCCGAATGAGAGATAAACCTCTTACATGTGAACGTTTTGTTGTAGAACCGTAAAATATATCGGTGAAATTTCAACGCGTGAAGCATGTCAAGGGCCCTGAGCGTCTGAAGAATGCTTTTTGTGTACTTTCGAGTCAATAATGTGGCCTTTTTGGCAGATTAACTAAGGGTGTGCGGCTGCTGCTGTGGGTAAAGATCAGGCTGAATTAAGAATGGGCCTTAATGGAGACATGTTGAACGTTTTTGTCACTTCATGCCCTCAAGAGGCATTTTGTTTAATTATTTTTTGCTTAATCTTTTTTTATTTTCCAACTTAAGAGAGGTTTTCCTATGTTTTTCATGACATATTATGTCTCAGGAGTGTAGGGTTTGGGAATTATGGCAGGTTTTTAAAAAATATATGAAGGCAAATTTCAAACTGTCCCCCACTCTGTGACATCACACACTCTAGCCTTAACGAGCTGCGCAATTAAGCAATCATACACGAGAGGCCGTTCTTTAACGTCATTATTGGTACGACAGTACTGCGGCAGGACCGAGGCGCTTGCGCCGAGGTCCGTACGCCTGCAAGCAGTTTGCTTTTCAGGCCAAGGGTATACCGTTTTTCTCAGACGCGGAGGCATACTGACTTGTTGTGAAAAGGCACGTTCTATTTGACCGTTCTTTGATCGTGGAATCAAACACGCCTATTGACCAATCAGAGAGCTTGCTCACACCTATGTGTTATAGAATACACACTAATGTTAAAATCTGAAGAGGGCCTCTTTACCAAGGTCTGAACAATGTGTAATATCTCTAAAAGTATGAATCTGATTTAAAAGTTGTGTAACTCGAATAATTTCAGAAAGATGTGTAACATTTGAAAGTTGGAATGAGGTTGCTGAGTGAAAGTGTGAAGGAACAGTTAGCAGTTGAAGTCTGAAGAGTTTCTCCATTGACTTCCATGTTAAAAATTTGATGAATTATGGAATATATCCCTGGAATGATGAAAGTAATAGCCATTGAATAGCCAAAAAATAATAGCCATTGATTCCCGATCGAGCTGAACGTTTTGATGTTTGAATGGAGTTTTTGCGATGTGGAATGTAGGAGCAGAAGAGGCGCAAAAAAAAAACGTGAAATAATAAAAATAAGAATTTTGTGCGTAGAAGAACAAGTTGTGGGAATGCTGTATCAGCATTCCCACAAAATTACTGAATGTGTCTTACACAGTGTTGTGCTAGTTACTGAAAACCAGTAACTAGTTACCATTACTAGTTACTTCATTTCAAAAGTAACTCTGTTACTTTACTAGTTACTTACACCAAAAAGTAATGCGTTACTGTGAAAAGTAACGTTTTAGTTACTTAAAAAAAGGGCTCCCATTTATTATTCTCCAATGCAATAACAGTACTGAAATGAAGGCTATAATTGAGTACTGTTATTGCATTGGAGAATAATACAATCTGTTGATCAACTTGACATGCATTATATGCAATCTGGATTGCTTCGATATTAGCTGGCTTTCCATTTTTGTATATTCTTTCTCCAGGTAGTTGGAAAAAGTTTTCCGTCCCATATGCCGTGTGCCGCCCGGACATGCTATCATGCTAACTAGCTCCCTGAAAGCGGGTGACTCCACTGTAGCAATAGCCTGCATGTGTTCTACAACATACCGTGCAATGGCTTTATCGACTTTTCCCTGGCTAGCAGTCCCTTGGTTAAAATCCAGCCGATGTTGCTTAGGTGGAGGTGGAGTGGCGTCGGCTGAGTCTCTGTGGTCTTAGCTACTAGCTTCGTCCCAGCATGTTGTTTTTGCAGATGTTTTAAGAGATTTGAATGACTGGTTTGGGCAGTAGATAGGATCTTTGACCCGCCAGGACACAACTTACATTTAACTAAAACGTTCTTTTCTTTGTGCTCGACAAAAGTGAAATAGTGAGAATATCTCCAGGTGGAGAAACTAGAGTTGAGCTCCGCCGCCGCCATGATAGTCTTGTTAGTAAACAACACAAACACGCCCACAGCCCGTCTCCGCATGTGACACAGGAAGTATCTAAGTACATTTACTCAAGTGCTTAAGTACAGTTCTCATCTCTGTTCGCCTGGCTGTTGACTATATAAAAAAAACTAACGGAGTAACGCACCATGTAGTAACGGTAACTGAGTTACTGAATTTAAAAAGTAATGCGTTAGAGTACTAGTTACTGCAAAAAATAACGGCGTTACAGTAACGCGTTACTGTGTAACTGTCCCAACACTGGTCTTACATGTACAACTAAAATTGTTGTAAGTGTTTGTATTCAGAGAAAGAGAAGGAGTAACACATTTTGAAATGTAAACTGAGTGATCACAGAGAACGTTAGAGCACGAGGGAAAACCCTTTGGCACTGCTTATGAATCACAAGCTTTTTATGTCGTTGCTGTTGACCACTGTTTAGTTATGAATATATCTGATCTTGTGAGAACAAGAAAGCTGAGTCAGGAAGGAGCGAGTTTCTGTGAATGAGTCTGCCTGTCTCATTGACATGGATGTCAAAAACTTCTAGGATCCCGTCCAAGCTGAGACAAGTGATCATTTGGACTTTGAGAATGCAGCAATGTTCCAAGCTTTGATGTTTTCAGCTATTTAAGATCGTAGAAGGAGGCAGGAAGGGTTATCAAGGGTGCTTCATCTGTGAGAATTGTCGCTTGCAGATTATGTTTGTGTTGTCGTATTTTCAGCATATTTTCTGGTTGACATAGTGTGCTTGGAGTAGAATGAATTTGTCTCTTGTCTCATTCGTTATTTGTCCTGAAGTTGAACTACTGAACAGACAGAAGCAATTTCAGAGTGAATCAGAAGTGTGATTTTGTGTGTCAAGTTGTTGCGATGGTCAGAAAAAGCAGGTACAAATAGGGGAGTCTTTATTTCCTTGAGTCTAATAAACCAAAACAACTATTGGGTTGCAGCTATAGAAAAAAAGTGGAACAAGTTGAGGGTCCTTTACAATTCATCTGTCTGTTGCTTTCTCTCTGTTTCCATAGCCAGAATTCACTGTGAAGGTGGATGTATCCACAGATGAAGGAGTCTAAGTGGTCAACAAATCAGCCCTGCTACTGTGGTTGGGCTGTTTGTTGACCTCTGCAGTGTGTGTGCTGTGTGTTTCATGTTTGTGGGATGCGGCGCATTTAAACGTCCCTCCACAACTCAGCCTATACTGTATCTCACTGAGATGAATGGGGGTCAGGGCTGGGCCACCCACTCGTCACCACAGTCCCAAACCACTAAAAAGACTACTTGTAACATGCCTAGAAAAAACACTTGGATTCATTCAGATGTTTATGTGCAGCTAATGTGTTTATTCTTTACTTATTCCCAGTTCAGGAGTCAAAAGTTATTCACGATTTGGGCCAAACTGTCAAGTACCAGAACTCGCTACGTGTTACATGACAAACAACAGTTCCTTCATAAATAGCTTTTTTAAATAATTTCCACTTTTGACTGAGGGGATGAATTATTGTACACAGTCGTATGCATCACCACACCAATTTGCACCATCTGCAGTCTATAATGCAAGTCCATAAGTCTTCTCCCTTTGATGCGTCAGTTCAGTTCATGTTTCCTTCTAAAGAGCACTACTCTGCAATTTCAGACTGGTGAGGAGGTTGTCTATCTAAAACAGTCCTGGCCCATCTGTGTCACAGGCCATATCTGTCATTATCGGCATTTAATTGTTCTCTCTATTGCCTACCGCCTGCTCCTGACCTATCTTCAGCACTGCGCTCTCCCCAATGAGTCACAAAGGTCTTAAAAAAAGCTACAGGCTAGTCTTAGCTGACAGGGGTGGAGAGGAAGGCTCTTTAAAGTCATGAGTTGAGTCATTGTATAGGAAGAAGTTCCGGCCCAACCAGACCCAGATTGGTTTGTCACTTGCGGTTGAGTCATAAAGGTACATGAGTATGTTGCCAGAGCTTGTGGAAATGAAGGCGGCTGTTGTTATTTTCAGAAAAGTAGCAACTTATCCCCTGCAGGTCCATCCTCAGTAACTGGTGAGTCCATGAGGCTTTCTGCTTGCTTCCCAGGACAATGGAAATGATGGTGGGGACACCAGTCAGTAATAAGAGGAGAGGTGGATGTTTTGGAGGAGACCGCATTATCAAAAAATCCCAGGATGACTCACACCACAGCCCTTGTCAGTTAGAGTGGGGTTTCCAGCGATCGTCTGCCACATCGTCTCCGTCTCTTTCTAATGACACGAATGCTGATTTTTGACAGTTCCTTTTCTGATTTCCTCAAAAAAATGTATCATAGTTAGTACTTTGTACAAAATGTAACCAGACTTGGGTCCCCAGTGTTACTTATGAATTTGATGTATTGTAGATGCGTCTTATTGTGTCTATTAACATTGGGTAGTGGGGATCAGGATGCACTCATTGACCCTATACGCAGGCAGACAGATACTGTACACTCGAGCCAAACAAATGCTGCCCGTCCCGTCAGCTTGCTAGCAAGAGCAGTGAGGTAGATAATAATTGTCAGCTTGTCTGTGCCGGTGCCAATGCCAGGGTGGGCTAGGCCTGGTGGGGTCTGGCTCAAAGGGCCTAGATCACTGTGGGCATCGGGAGTCCACAGGGCTGAGAGAAACAGGAGGATGAACACTCACAGTACTGCAAGCATGTCCAAAAGAAGCATTACAAAGAAGAAGCAATGTCTGTGTGGATACAATCATCTGCAATATTTCTGTCTTGAATTTCCCAAGCAATATATCTAATCTAAATGTGCTCTCTGTTTTCTTCTTATCACAGACCTCCATCCAGATGTGGAAATCTAACTGCACTCAGAAATGTATTTATGAAGACAAGATTAATGATGCAGAAAGATGCAGCACCAGAGAGCCTGTTTTGGCCCTACATGGGACCTCATGTTTGGGGTAAACCCTTTCTTGGCACACCTGGGTGACATCATAAACAGGGCGTAAATGACCAGCGAAACTCTAAGCCCACCTGTTACCAACCCAAGCTTTTAATGTAAGTTTTATGGCTTTATGGTTTAACCAATTAAGTGATATTTTTGTGATGGTTGAATGTTAAGTCCCCTGTCAGTTAAAATAAATGCTGTGTGTACTTCAACCAGATCATCTGCATTTATGTAATTGTTTGTACATGATATACAAAATAATCTGCATACACGCCACCTGAGCTCCATACCTGCTCTGTGTTTGTCTCTGGGCTCCAGCTTGGGAGGAAATTAGATATTTCCGTCAGTCTGTGCTTAAGTACATTTATCACTCAGATCACTCAAGACTTGTGGAAAAGAGGAAAAGTGGTCTGGCATGAGATCTGTCACTAAGTCCTCCACATGTATGTCCCTAAACTATTTAGTGGCCACTGGAATTGGGACCTCCTGTTTTGACTGTGGGAACTGTTGGCAGTTGCTTTAAAATCCAATGTTTTCCGCTCTTCATTGTGAAATAAAAAACTTCCATGATGCTTTGCAAACATCTTTACCTATAGCGTCCACGTGGAATGAAATCACTGCATTTTAGAAAGTAACATTGAGGCATTTAACGCAATTCATGTAAAAGTCAAGTTTTAGTGTTTATTTATTTAAAAACTATTTATTTTTTGATATCTAAACCAAAAATATCAACGACCAACATGTCAGTTTTCAGAACATAACATATGACTACTGGAGAGGAACAAGCATGTTTCCAACCTCTATCTCCTCATGGTAAGGAAACAATATGTCCAACAATAGCATACATGACATCCTCATCAATCCATTCCCAGTGCAGATGTGCAACAAAGTGTCCACTGTGGTAATAAAATGCACTCAAATGGCCCCCACTGGTCATGACAAAGTCCAGTTGTCCAAAGGAAAGTTAGATTGGTTTCCGGCAAACGCATTACGATACGTCATGACTTTGACCTAGGAAGCAAACCTGGAGACCGTGGTGGTTGAAGGTAATGCTGCAGATGTGTGTGGCAGGAAACCGGAGGTATCAAGAGTATTCCAGAAGCCTGAAAATATCACTATTTCCACATGACGAACACATTTTTTCCTGAGCTCCAAAACCAAAGATGCTACACCCAGTCCCATTTCTGACCTTTTAAGACCTCATATTTGGGTATCCTTTCACCCTTGTATAATGTTGAGTTAACAGCCTAAACGGGTTTCTCCCTTGTCATAGTAGAGCTCACTTCCTGTCACTGGCCCCAGGGTGCAACGCACAATGACTAGCAACACCCATTGGCTCCCTAGCAGGCGGAGAGTCTGACAGGCAGGGTGACACAGGGGTTATTTGTTTCTGTCAGAAGCACAGAAATAGTCTCCCAACTGGTCCTGGAGTGGACAAAGCAGGCGTGCGTTCATTGGCCTGCTACCATGGCGGGATGTGCTTCTGTTGTGATTACCTGCCTCTGTATAGGAAGGGCTTTCTCTGAGGACCTGTGGAAAAATGCTGCTGTCTGCCAAGTGCCATGATTAGCGCCCCGGCCTGTTCCTGGGTCAGCTCAGAGGGCAAAAGTGTCTAGACCAGCCGGGGGTTTTCCACACGCTCTTGCCTCAGCTGTAACTATTACTGTGTACAGTAGTTCCCCAACTCTCATGTCCAACAAGTCGCTTTGGACGGCATCACTCCCTGCTGTGTGTGGTGGGAGTCGTGTCAGACATTGTCTTTACATATGTTTTGAATATTGTTGTCGTTAATGGCGTCCATTTTCTTTGACTCATGTTATTATGTTGTAAGGGGATTAAGAGATGGGAGGGTGGGAACCGTTGTGGTGAGCGGTATCTCATGTTGATTTAAAGTACTACTTAGTGTAAACACAACAGTTATTTGGAGATGTTATTGATTGATTGATATTGTGCCATTCATGGAGCACTACTTTCTAATGTTAGGATCTTCCAGCTGCCAGGACTCTTGCAGTGCATTGTGCATTACAAACTGAGTGTTTGCCAGAAAAAGCACAACCAGTTAATGGTTCGGAACCCTGGCTTATCTTGGCCATCGACGCAACAAAAGCTGTAATTATCTGCAAAATAAACTCACTTCCTTGATTGTTATACAAATAATGCATTAAACAGTTCCAGATACACTTTTTTTTCCACTGTGTTGCCAGACCCTGTCGAGAAGGAAAAGCATTCAGGCCACCAGTACTGGAAGATCATGTCATAGTGCTAATCAGGAAGTTGAGTGCTTTATGAAATATGAACACCTTATATAACCAATTATGATTTGCAAACTCTGTTTTGGTCTCTGTGAAAATGGCAAAACAATTGTGCCTAATGTTTCCCACCTGCCAACAAATTAAGTTTCTTGCATATGTCAGCATTGTGTGTCTCCCAAGACCTTCTCTATATAGGTCCAGACATTATTTCTGGCAATTTGTTCCTGACGTGTACCTCCCACTCCTCCCACTCCTCCCACTCCTCCCACTCCTCCCACTCCTCCCACTCCTCCCACTCCTCCCACTTTCTCTGGCCCACCTCCATGAGGGCCGAGGAAGCCTGGCACTCGCCTGAAGCTCTCAGCCAGTCCTGGGCAGCTGGGATCTGGGGGAGCTCCCTGCAGTTCTGCAGTGTGCTGGCAGCCCTCTTCCTCTTGCCCCTGCCACTCTTAATTCTGCCTTTTTACTTCCAGCCAGCTTCAGAATACAATACAGAGGAGCCCTGTGCTGCGTTGTGAACACAGACACACTCATGGGCGTACACACACATCCACACTTTTATAAGCCATTGAAAGAGACAAGACCAAAGGCGGAAAGAGGAGCAGACGCCTCTCAGATGCTGGGCTTGGCTTCGTTTGCCTCTTGACACAGACGGCCGCACACAAGATAACTGTTGTTTATTGTTTATGGAAGGACCCTCTGCCACACTCCACGCTCTCTTCATCTGGAGACTCCTAAAGGGCCACAGCCAAGAGCCACAGGGGAAAATAAAGATGGAACTCACTGTATCTACTGTATGTGTGCAAGCGTGAGTGTATGAAAGACAGCACATGTGTTCTTTTGTGTTTACATGTACAGAGTGAATGTACATTTACTGTACAGTATTGGGTGCTATTATTCTCCCATAGCTTCCTCATGGAGTGTGTGCTGTTTGCTCAGCTGGAGTTGGTTCAGCGTGTAGTGGATGGGGAGGCCATCTTGTTCGAATGGGGTCTCAGTTACAATAACCTCATTACATCAGGTAATGTGGACTTCCGCCCTGATCTGACAGATTTTAAGATGCATGTTCTTGGGTGAGTATAATATTGAAGGAGCAATTCAGATACCTCAAAACTTAGATAGATTTATACAAATCCATCACCCTCTAAGTCACTAGTCCTGTTTTATATCTTAGACCACACAAGCCTACATTTATTTTGTATTCTTCCCATTATTATCCATGAAGAAATATGCAGACAAACTTTTCAAAGTTACTGAAGTTGATCAAAAGAAGATCTGACATGTATAGATTCCAGACTGTCAATAACCAATCTTTGAAGAAAGCCTGAAGACAAATCTAATACATTTCCCTGTCATCAATTGAGGTGTGTTCCAATCTAGATTTACATAACAATCTCTGAAATCATGAGCTGACTAATTTTCTAAAACAACATTAGTCAAAAAAAGTTCCATCCACAGATCTACAGCACAAAGTCTTGGATACATCAGTAGTTGAGACTCGACAGTGCTATATTGGCATCTCTCCAACATGACTTGATCATGCTACCAATTAAATATGTTCAGTGAGAATGTCTCAGCAGGAAAAAAAGAAGAAGGACAAAGTCTTAATAATGGACAGAAGAAAATGCACATGGTTTGTTATGATGTCAAGTTTATGAAGCAGATGGATATCTCTTTAAGCTAATTTGAGCAGATTTTAGGGTTAGGGTTAACCGTGTAGATGTTGGAAAAACATACAGTTCATCAAAGAGCTGCAGCTTTTCACTGTAAATTGCATTGCTAGCTTAAAACTTTGACGGGAGTCATAGAAAAAAACACAATCATGATAGCAAATAAGTCTCAATCAATGGTGAGTCCATTGGTTGTACTGGTTTAAACATGTATCATATTAAAACATTATTATATTAAATTGTATTTTATGATCCCATTTTATAAGGCTATATTTATAGCATGTGTACTTGGGCAGACTTCTCTGTCCACTCTTGTCTCAGCTCCTCCCTACCACTTGCAGCCATGTGCTGTCAGAAAGGTGTTGGTGTGTACCAGGTTCTCAGCAGTAAAAACCAGTAGAAAGAGAAATTATTTCCTAATGGTGCATGAAAGTAGTGATTCACCACTGTATTTTTGTTTGAACCATTGGCAGATCTTTTCTATATTACCTCGACACTGTACCTAAAGAAAACTATTTATTTGCATGCAGTATTATACACTTGAACAACGTTTGACAGCTGAAGTTGATGTGTCTCCCTTGACCTCTCATCAAAATGTGAAGTTGGTAGGAAAGAGGCTGCAGCTGGACCCGGATCAGGCCTGCTGGCGATATACAGTAGCATGAATAGCAGGCTAGCCCTGGGCACTGCATGTGAACAGTCCTGCTGACGACTGTACCGGGAGGGTCACAGCCCCTCCATGCTGCCCCGCAAAAGAAGAGTGGGAGTAAACAGGCGTAATAGGGAGAGACTAAAAGACACTTGGACTGTGTTCTTGTAAATAATTGCATTCATTGTTCTCGGCCACTGTTGGTTATGGTCACAAGCTGTTTGGTAGGCCCCTGTCTGTCTGGTGCTCCCCATGAGCCTGGTGTCAGCCCCTACGCCCCCGAGGGGAGCAAGTTGTGCCAGGGGTGAGGATGCCAGCTTCCTGACCCGGTGGCCCCGTGTCTGACGTGCCCACGCCAGGACCAAATGGTCCCTGGGCCAGCTCGGAGACTCAGGGCGTGCTGTGCGCATGCTGCTCTGCTGTTAAAAAAAGCTGGTTCAAAGAGCACATTCCTGCCCCCAGCCCAGCAGCGAAATAGCCAGCTTTCTTACTCGTATGTGTCAAAGCTCCAGATTCTTTCATTTTATTGCTTTGTCTTT